CCCCCCCCCCCCCAGCCTTTGGTTTCTGAAAAATATATCACATCAGTGTTCCCCTCTTGAAATTAGACCCTGCCTTATCCTCTTTTGAGATAGATACTTATTGTGCCTTCAAATAAACCAGACAAATGAAAATTATTTCAACAGCAACCCCTCAATCAAAATGTGCCGAACCCGTTGTAATTTGCATAACAGAAATTCGCTCAGCCCAGTGCGCACTACTCGTATCTTCTTGGCTGGTCACTCGACAGCTGCACACTGTAAGGATAGGATATGTGTAATGAAGTCGCAGGGCCGGAATTTTCATTCAGCTTCGAGAATTGTAATGTGAGTAAAAGCTTTTCATGTTTTTTACGAGTTCAAACTATCAGATAATTTATTATTATTTTACTCGTTCTAAACTTTAAGTTGGCCTGAGTAGTTGATTGAATTTTTGGATTTGAGAAAAGTTGAATAGTGATATCTTAAAAAATCTTGAAAAGCACGTGCTGCCTGTTAAAACACAAATATAATATGAAGAAAGTTATATTAGATAGTTTGATTTTTGGTGCCCAGATGCTGTCAATTCAATGTCACTCACTGTACGTAATTAGGCCACCTGAACACATTTCGTATTTTAAACACTTTCATAGTTGATATATTAGTGTGAACCTTCTCGGATGCCTACATTACAAACTGATCAGTATAACAGTGCATTTAGTTTTAAAAAGATTTCCATATTTTCAATTGGAACATTAACGAGAGAAAACTGTTAGTTTTTCACGATGCCTTGTTTGTGTATGTTAGCCGTCCAGACTCTAAAGCTTTGACTTAAGGTTATTGTAATAATAATAATAATAATATATAATAATAATAAGATTCTTATATTTATTAACATCCAGATACCAAAAATGAGTTTTTCCTCTATCTAATTATTCAATAATGCATCTTTGTGCTGATTTAAAACTATGGGGTCTGGAAATGGTCTCTTGTCCTTGTAAACGCTTTGAATCTTGCATACAAACCCCGTTTAGTCGACTTTCAAATTTGGTGTTTAGTTAGCGTCAATGTGATTATTTTCGGCATGAGCATATGTTTTTCCATTTTCGTTAATCTAACCTTTATTCGGATTCTCTGCTTTCGAAAATTGAAATATCGCCATTTAAATGTTATTTTGATATTTCAGAACTGCAAACGCCTTTGCCGAGATCCTGCACAGTGCACGTGACGTATTCTCCGAGACGTATTTTAAAATCAGACGCAGATCCAGATCCATTGGCACCGCAGATGCTATATGTTGAAAATTATACCTTAGGGCATGCTATGTACATCATTTTATTTGGAAGCAATCCAGCTTCTTTTTAAATTAATCTCATTATGCAATTGTGCAATTATTAAAGTGTTTAAAATGGCATGATGTTATTTTCAGCGTGTTTGCAAATCACAAATTTCAAAGTTGAGATTAAAAATGCAATTTTCACGATATTGAAGCTCGGATAAGATTGTTTATTTAGCCAATCAACTACCTTATCATATTATTATAATTTGCATTGTATTAAAAGTCCATTTTTAATGTTAATATTTACACCTTTGAATGACAAGCAATTAATGAAAATAAATGACTATTTTGGGGGTAGTTTTTTATTCAATCTAAAATACACAGAATTAAAGTAAAGTTGATTTGTACTGGATTTTTAGAACCTATACTATACTCTCTTTGGAATGCATTTTTTGTTCTCCAGATTAAATCTAAAAGTGCTTTTAAATTTTGTAAATGAAAAATTTGAAATTAACACAAAGCAGTTTCATTACAATTGCACGAATTATTAATATGAATAAATTCTGTAGGTGTCAATTTTCAGATTTATCATTCCCGGTCAAATTCATACGGTTAATATGGGCTGACGGCCTATTCTTTGTCCAATGTCCTGTTCAAAGACTGTTGTATGTCCTTATTATCTTTTTTATTTGAGCACATGAGTCCCCCAGTAAATATTTAATTGTTTCTTCGAGGTTTTCTGTCATAAAAGATGTCATATAATAAATAAAACATTAAAATATTGGTCTTTGCTTGTATATTGAAATGAATGATACTCGTATGACTGCATTGGTATGAGTGGGCGAGTCTATTCGATTCGAGGGGTGGAAGGTGGGAGGAGTTCACTCCATTTAAGGGGTGACAGGTGGGGAGAGTCCATTCCATTTGAGGGGTGACAGGTGGGGCGAGTCATTCCATTTGGGGGG